AAAAAAAAAAAAAAAAAAAAAATTATCGTAGAGCCATTGTGTTTCAGCCTTATATTTGATCAGGTGACCATGGCAGCGGATCTGACTCAGGTTGAGTCCACCTGTTGAACAGCTCTTTCCCCTGACAGTCATTTCCTGGGTGGGGTGATAGCCAATAGCTCTGGCCAGGGAAATCACTGATAGTCATGAGGCCAGCTGTACCCAGAAGAGCCAATATCTGGCCCCACTCCAGGGCCACAGCCTCAGCATACTAATAATTTCTACCTTGCTTTGTTTTCTATGTATATTTTTTAGGGAGCCTGGTGGATTCATTTGGTCACATCCTGATACCTGGAATCTATGATCAAGTGGCTCCTCTCACAGAGCAGGAAAAAGAAATGTATGAAGCCATTGATCTGGACCTTGAGCAATATCGGAATAGCAGTCAAGTTCAGAAATTTCTGTTTGATACAAAGGTATGACCACAAGCTGATGGTTAATCTGAAAGGAATGATGACAATAAATCACATTTTCCAAGTACATAATTAACACCAGGTTATGCTAATCTAAACATTTTTAGAACTCAGAGCGGATGTTAATTCCTAGCAAATTTTAATTTTCACAGCTACTTTCCTGTAGTCTAGATCAAACTATTTCTGGGGTCCAACTGGCATTGGACCATGAATCAGGCACCTATCCATGAGTTATGAGTAATTTCACAGCCATGCTTTTCCAAGCCAGTTCATTAACTTACATCCCATGGCACCCTGTAGCTAGAAACCAAAATTTAACTCTTTGAAGATTTGTAAAAGTTTGAGATGGTTTCAGCTCCAATAGTGCTAATTATTCATTTTCCCAGGGCTAACCAAGAGCCTCAGGGGAAAATTTACAAGTTACTAGATCATCTCCTCTGTGTACTAAGGAAATTCAGAGCCCAAAGTATTTGTTACTGAAATTTTATACTTTTTTCTTTCTCTTTTGTCTCCTTTAAAAGATATTTGCTGCTAAGGTATTTAGCAGATGTGGCTGATTCCTGGGAAAACTATAAAAAGCCAAAATCATGCTGAAAAGAGGTAGAGTTTAATTTAATAAGGTATATTTCTTTTCTCAGAATAAGTCTATGATGGCTGCAAAGAGAAAGGAAACTAGATCAAACATGCGTAGAGTTCTTGGAGATCTTCTGAACAATAAAACGTACACAAGGCATCTCATGGATAGAAATTTATAACTGACTCAAAGTTTTTAGTCCATTAATGGAGTATTATTAATACTTAGGCAAAAAGGGGCAGTGGGCATTGGCTTGGGCAGGCAAAAATCACAGAAGAAGCCACACGTTCTGAGGAAACTGTCCATCTCATAGTAGCGATAGTTCAGACACATCTAAGGTGCTCATTTACTTCTCATGAGTGGGTCTCAGATGCAGATGTTGGTGATAAAGAAAAATCATACCACTGAGTTTTAACCATATATTCTTCAGGTGATTTTGTTTTTATTTAGGAGGAAATTCTAATGCACCTATGGAGGTACCCGTCTTTTTCTATTCATGGGATTGAGGGTGCATTTGATGAACCTGGAATTAAAACAGTCATACCTGGCCGGGTTACAGGGAAATTTTCAATCCGTCTAGTCCCTCACATGAATGTGTCTACAGTGGAAAAACAGGTAACAATTGTTCAGTATCACTCTGCCTAGTGGCACCATTTCCAAGTCGCTCACACCATGGTTGTTATTCCATTGTTATCATTGAAGTGTCTTTTTTTTCAACATAAAAGAACCGAAACAAATGTTAAGAAACTACTCTCAGTCTTGCTCAGTTAAAAACCTTTTTCCTCAACTATATGGAATTACTGTAATTAGATAAATAACCATTTGTAGTTGTAGTGCTGGGAAATTTTTAAAAAATTAGATGGTAGTTATAAAGGCAAGGTTTTGTTTTACAAATAGATGGGGTAGGTAACTGCTGATGCTTGGAGGGAGCCAGAAAATCTCAGGCATAGTCGTTGGTTTTTTTCATGATGTCTGAAATCAACACTATGAAAACAACCATTTCAATGAAAATGTTACCTGGATGTAGTTATGTGTCTAAATTACCAACTCATCATCAATTTACCTCAAGCCAGTGTAACAGAAAGTAGTCCCTGGGATAAATGAGTCTAGGAAATCTCAACTCTCAGCTATTCTTGATTCCATTATCCTTTCTTTTCTGATCTTGTTAGCACTAATCACATTCTAAAAAAAGTATCCTTCCTTCCTCCACCTTCCTTTTCTCCTTTCTTTTGTAGGCATTGCCCCTTTATAGGTATTCCAGGAGGGCAGTACCTTTTTTCCCCTTCTTATTCACAGCTGTTTCACATGCAACTAGAACAGTCCCTGGCACATGATGAGTGTTAATAAATATTTGCTAAAGAAATAAATGAAATAAATATTTTATAGGAGACTTCCTAGGAGGATTTCCACAGCTGCCATTGGTAAGGGACTAAGGAGAAGAGAGAGATGCTGAAATGATCTCCTTTCATGATTGGCTTGAAATTGCTCTCCTTGTTTTGAAATGTCCCAAATGCTTAATGTTTCCCAAGGATATTAATAAACCCAAAACCAGGACATTCTAATTGAGACATTGTGTTAAGTCTCACAATTTTCAATAAACATTACTCTAACACACTATTTAGCATGCTCTATTTTCAGAGTGGGTTAGGGACAGGATTGCAGGTACAGAGGTAGCAGGGGAATGAGAGCAAGTGTTTCCCAGGGTGAGGCCTGGGATCTCTGCTCTTCGTGTTAAAGCTCCTGCTCATTATGTTGTATCCTCTGGAAGAACAAAGGAAAAATCATGGCATTTTGATTTTTCAAGTCAGGATTTCAATCAATTTCTTGATGAAACATGCTTGAGAGAACAAATTGAAATCTCTTACTACAAAAAATGTCACCTTGTAGGTGAAGCAGCATCTTGAAGATGTATTCTCCAAAAGAAATAGTTCCAACCAGATGGCTATTTCTATGGTAGTAGGAGTTCAACCATGGAATGCAAATATTAATGATACTCAGTATCTTGCAGCAAAAAGAGCCATCAAAACAGGTGGGACCTTAAGATATTTTCATTTTCCAGCTTACAATGGGACCAATGGGTGGATATGCAGACAACTCTTCTCCTTCTCCTTCTGTTGCAGTACTGAGGTTTGAATGCAAGGTCTGCACACCAAGCCCTTCCCACTTTTTAAAATTTTGAGACAGGGTCTTGTTGTGATTAAGTTGCCTGAATTGAGCTTGAGTTTACAATCTTCCTGCCTCAGCCTCGAAGAGTGCTGGGATTATAGGCATGTGCAAATGTGCCTGGCTCAGCAGACATTTTTAAAACTCAAATGTCAACTCTCCTCTTCATCTAGGGCATATTGTTGAGTGCAGGTTATGTAAAGGGTACTTTGTTATGTAATCCCCCGTATATTATGTAATCCTCCCAACAATTCCTCCATTTTACAGTGTGGGAAATTAAGGGTTAAAGAGATGAAGTTATTTGATGAACAGCACTCAACTATTAAGTAGCAAAGCTAGGGTACAAATTTCAATCTAGAGACCTGAATTTGGGGGAAAATGATGAACCAGAAAAACATCAAACCCTCCTAATGCAAAACTCTGGAATGTTGGCCAGCATGTCAAAACATCCTTTAAAAAGCATAGCTTAACTTGTATGGTAGTAAGAAAATTGTTAAGTGCTAGAAATGGAAAAGCTAGTCTAGTGAGATGAACAAGTATCACACTGGCTGTCCTGCAGGCATCTACTCTCCTTGTTACAAAGAGGCTGGGGCTATAATGGCTGTGGGCTAGCATGAAGCAGAGAGTTGCAAACAATGAGACCCACTACATAAAGAGCTGTGTGTGTGTGTGTGTGTGCGTGCATGTGTGTGCATGTGCATGTGCACAGATATAGGCTTATCTATCTTTGCTTGTGCTTTGGACTAACACAAAGTCCCCTCTGAGAATTTTTAACCATCGACGAATCATCACATGGGGCTAAGTCTTTAATTTCTACGGTGGGATTAGCCTAGTTCTTCTCAAATATATCCATTGCTGGACTGCCTGGCTGATACAGACATCAAACTGCCCTGGTCACCATGTGATATTTCCATAGAAGGGCTTCGTAGAGATGAGCTCATTATATAAAATTAAAAAACACAGGAGAAACCCAAAGCTAGCTATCTAACTCTAGGACCGATGATCTTTTCAGAAAGTCACAGTGGTTCCCCGGAAGGCAGCATGATTTTGTTTGGAATTGCTTAGTGGTGCCAATTTTAATTTTATGTACTTAAAAATCCTGGATAGGACATATGATTCACTCAGCAGAGGGAATGTATGTAAGCACTGGATGTCAGAGCAGGAAGAAGGAATATGCAGTTTCTGTGGCATTTGATATTAGTGAGAGTTAGTCTTGCCATTATTTATTCCAGTGCTTTCTTTCCTTTTTGTTTCAGTGTTTGGAATGGAACCTGATATGATCCAAGACGGATCAAGCATTCCTATTGCCAAACTATTCCAAGACATTGTCCAAAAGAGTGTGATGATGCTTCCCTTGGGGGCTGTCGATGATGGAGAGCACTCTCAGAACGAGAAGATCAACAGGTTAGCACACCCCTATGCAGCTGAGCTTGGCTTTCCAAGCCCAGAGGCTTCATGTGGGGGCAGGTTCCAGGCATCTTCTATGAGGATAGTGAATACCAGACTGTACATACCAGCATGCATGGCTTAAGCAACACATTTATTTTCTCAGAGTGGTGCAGGCTAGGAAGTCCCAGGTAAAGGCTCTGGCTGATCCAGTCCCCGGAGAGGGCTTTCTTTCTGGCTCTCAGACTGCCCTCTTCTCCTAGCATCTTTACATGGCAAAGAGGAGGAGGTGGAGAAGGAGTGTGAGAGAGTATATCAGCCAGAAAGTGAGTTCTGGTGCTTCTTCCTCCCCTGGAAGGGCACTAGCCCTGTGGAATTAAGACTCACTCTTCCAACCTCATTTGACTGTGCCATCTTCTAGAAGGCCTTACCTCCAAACAGTCACTTTGGGAATGAGGGTTTGAACACTTTGAATATTAGGAGACATAACATTCAGTCTACAAAAAAATGCATTTAGGTATGTTTGATAATACATTATGGCAGGTTATACAAAGCTCCTAAACCTCCCAGATCAGTGAGAAAAAAATATGTTTGACTCATATCTGTCATATCAATGATATGAAACCAAGGAAAATGGTCTTTTTTGGATTTGGGTCCAGGACTTATTACCATTTTTCTTTTCAAAGTTTTATTTTTATTAGCACATATTTGCAGTACATAATAATTACATTCATCATGGGGAGATGACACATGTACAGAAAAAAATCTTAATTCATTTACATCCCCTTTCCTCCTCATCCCTCTATCTCTTGGTCCCCTTCCATCTTAATAATGCTATTTCCTCACTGAATTTACTAGGTGCCTTTCATCCTGGGATCTCAGAAGTGTGTTAGATACTTTAGATTAAATTTATAATATCAGATCTTCCTGTCTAAATGGTAGACTTTTCCTTCTTCATTTGATTGAAAATTGTAACATAGTTTTTCATTTTTCCTTGTTAGGTGGAACTACATAGAGGGGTCCAAGTTATTTGCTGCCTTTTTCTCGGAGATGGCGAAACTGCATTCATGACAGGAATCTTCCAGACTGATGTGCCCCATTGACCACCCCCCCACCATGTCCCCAGATAGGGATGGAATCTAAATATCCAGATAATGTTGCTCTAACTAAGTACTCTTTTCCCTCTCATTTAAACTGTCTTTGGATACTTGGAATGATAATAAAATATCTTAAAGGCACAAACACTGGAAATGATTTAACATCCTTTGCTGCCCACCTTCCTAACATCATAGCTACCTTCTGCTTAATTTCCTTGAATCTTGTGTAGTAGTCTCAAGATTGAATTCAGTCTAATATTCAATTTTATGTAGGTCAATTATTCAGTTGGTTGGACCCTCACGTTGCTATTTGGTGGCCATAACATCACCAGTTTTCATTCTAGCTTCTATAATGCCAACAACACAAAATCAATTCATCCAGTGACTGACAGGAATTACATCACCTTTACTTTTTCCCTGCTTTCCTTGTATCTTATTAATAAAAATGTTGGTCTCCGCCACTGACTAGAATGACTTCCCTGTGGGTTCATTTTTAGAGGAGTTCCTAAGGTATGGTGCTGTATTAACCTTTTGACTTTCCTTCATTTACTATTCTTGCTTCTTGAAAAGTTCTAAAGCTAGGGCCGGGATTTAGTTTAGTGGTTCTGTCGCCCGCCTTGCAAAAGTGCAAGGACTCGAGTTCGATCCCCAGTACCCCCCCCAAAAAAAGTTCTCAACCTGAAATGATCAATATTCACACCCTTACACCATTTGGGATTCCTTGTACAAAGATGAGATTAAAATAAAAATCCCAAGCTTCTTTACCTTTGCCATGATTGATGCTACCTGATCAGCTCCCCTGCTTCCTGTTCTTCCCATCATTATTAAAGAGCCTCCCTCCCTCCCTCCCTCCTTCTCTCTCTCCCTTCCTTTCCATTCAGCACAAGGAAACTCACCAAAGAAGAATCAATCCTGATAGAATTTCTCTCACCCCATTGAAATTTTACTCAATGACTACATCTAAATTGCTCAAAGCTTTTAATAGCATCAGTTTTAGATAGAGAACTAATCAAGCCCGACATCTGTAACACATTCTAAATTTAAAGCCATCAGCTAATGCTGCACTTATTAATCATTTTAGTTAACCATCTTGTTTGAGTTGATTGGGTGTGATGGAGTAAACACACACACAAAAAGAATCATTTTTCTACTGTTGAAATTATGTAAATAGATCACTTTAATCTTTATGTAAATTCATTGTTTAAACCACATTAATGGAGAAGAATTTAAGGGTTTATTAAAATGTTTCTCTTATGATTCCAAATAAAAACAAAGCATAACACATGTGCCTTCAATTTTTTTCCATTTATCTGTTGGTTCTTGAAATGTATATATTTTTTAAACATTTTATTTATTAGTACATGCTTTCCATAAATGAAGATTAAATTCATAGGAGGGAGTAAGTACATATACACAGCACATCTTGATACCTTTTTAATCCCCTTGCCCTACCCACTCACCTTTCTCCTTCCCTGTCTCTAAATCCTCCCTCCCCACTTTTATTATTATTATTATTTTCAGCTCATGTTTACAACATATAATGTTTACATTCATTGTGGGTATTTGGTATGTGTACAAGACACACGTTAAATCTTTTTACTTTACTTTCCTCACATCCTTGGCCTCCTGGAACCCTTCCCATTCACAAAATATCTATCTCCCTGCTTCCTTTTATCAATCCTTTATTTTGCTCTTTATTTGTATTTTGCCTTACTTTAATGAGGGGAACTACATGATTTTAAAGTTGTGGGCTGCTTTATTTCATTTAACACTTTACTTTCCAGATGTATCCATTTTACTACAAACATCTCAAAATTTCCTTATGACCCAGTAGTATTCTATTATGTATAGATAACACATTTTTAATCCATTCATCAGTTGATAGACATATAGGCTGCTCCAAGGATTTAGACATTATGAATCATGCTGCTATAAATATTGGTGTATATGTGTTGCTGTAATATGATATCTTTGGATCTTTTAAGAAGGTACCTAGAAGGGGAATAGCTGGGTATTAAAATTAAATATGAAATTTTAAATTTTAGTCCTTTTAGAAATCTCCTGATTTCCATAATGGTTGTACTAGTTATCATTCTCACCAACAGTATAGGAGTGTTCTTTTTTCACTGCAGCCATGCCAGCATCTGTTGCTGTTTGATTTGTTGATGATATTATTTCTGTTGTGAGATGATTGTGCTGCTTTAATTTGTATTTCTCTAATGGCCAGAGATGTTAAACTTTTTCATGTATTAGTCACTTGTACTTCTTTTAAGAAGTGTCTATTCATTTCATTTGCCCATTTTAAGACTGGGTCCCCCCACCCCATACCAGCAATTGAATTCAGGACCTTGTGCTTGGAAAGCAGGCACAGTGCCACTGAGCTAAATTTATGGCCCCAATGACTATCTCTTACTTTGAGAGGTTTCAATTTTTGGAGTTCTTCCTATATTATACATATTAGTTCTCTGAAAAATAGCTAGCAAAAATGTTTTCCCATTTTGCAGATTATCTCTTTATTGGTTATCCCTTTGCTGTGCAGGTTTTAATTTGACATAATCTTATTTGTTGCTGTCACTATTGTTTCTTGTGCAACTGAAGTTGTGCTTAGAAAGTCGTGGCCTACACCTACGACTCCAAGTTTTTTACTTATTTTATCTTCCAGAAGGTTTATTGTTTGTTTTAATATTTAGACCTTTGATCCATTTTGATTTTATTTTAGTACATGGTGAGAGACACAGGTCCAGATTCTATCACTGAAAACTCTATAAGATTTGTCATCACTGGGAAAGAAGATTAATACACAAAAGGATAGGACTGGTTGAGAGAGAGAGAGAGAGAGAGAGAGAGAGAGAGAGAGAGAATGCAAGCAAAATATGTTGAACTAAAAATGAGAGAATTTAAAAAGTGGAAGAAATAAAAAATAAGAAAATAGTATTTTCTATGGGAACTTGAGATGGAGATACTGGATAGAGGATGAGTAGAGAGAGACAAAATAAAAACCAACTAAATCAGAGCGAAAAACCAAAACACAAGAAAATGTACATGTGAGTCACAGGAGACTGCTTTGCCAAAAAGCGTGAGTGTTCACACAATTTACTTTTTGCCTTGGCTGCAGGCTGATTGCAGGAAAATATTAATCTCTTTTCCTTGCATTCAAAATCCAAACAAACCCATTCTCAGAAACTCTCCACCAGGTTGGAGGTGGAATCTGATACTGCCCCCTCCACTCCTGCATGCTGGAATCTGTGGGTAGGATCACTTGCAGGTGGGGAACTACAAAGTCCAGGCATACTCATGTTACTGTGGGGGACCTCAGGAATCTGTGAACATGTCTACATGCTGGCAGAGAGGTCTGCAAGAGACACCTGACGTGTTCTCTCACTGGCACAGCATCGCAGGGATCAGTGGGCAATTCACTGTCAGGTGGGAGACTGAAGAGCAGGAGTGCATGCCTGCAGGAATCCACAGGCCCCATTTATCTCATTTGGGTTGGTGGCGGGTGTTCTCTTGCCCTTGGTGAGTGCTGGTGGGGATGCCACTGGGCTACAGTATTCCCCAGGGCGTGGAGAAGAGTTGGGGAGCAGGGGATGGTATATATAGCATGTGATCCAGAAGTTCAACCTCCTCAGCACCTGTTCTTTTGTTCATTCTCTCTGGCTATTTGGGATGCTGTCATAATGGTCCCCAGATGGGCAGGTGCTGGAGTGGTGTGGATTAGCCATATTGGCTCTGCTTTCCCTGTCCAATGATCCAGTTGTTACATTTAAGCTATACATATCATCTTCCAATTAATTTTCTTTTTTTGGGGGGTCCAATTAATTTTCTTATTCAGAGCGTAAGACCTTCCCTCACTACAGGGTACCTGTAATTTCAGTGAATCCTGAGAATCTCTGATATGATTTCTCCTCTAGTCAACCACATTGGATCTCTTGAAGTGGAAGTTCTAAACTTGTGGAATCACATTAAACATGAACAGACTATGTGGGGACTCAGTTTATCCTGACCTATTCATATAAAAGAAACTTAACTGAAGAATAAGCTTATGTGGGGGGAATTTATCAAGGATTCCATTTAGTGTCTACTTTGGGAGCAGACTTCAAATCACCTCCTTTTTTTTGATGCTACAGAATATTGTTCTTTTATTGACTATTGGCAGATGTCTTGCTACTAAATATTGGCAGATTCTGTTGCTACTAAATATAATTTGTGCTGGATTTTGTGGCATTTTTAGATTTTGTTAGAATTACCTGATGTATTTTGCATTGTCTGTGGGACTAATAGAGCAAAAGATTTTTGTTAATTTATGTTTGCAAAGAGTGCACATCTTGCTCAATTAACAAAGCTTTATTATAAAATATATTGTTACATTATAATACCAGTTTTATAAAGTCATTAAGCAATAATATGTATCACTTATTCTCATTTACCGGAAGTAGAATTTCCAAGACCAGCAGTGTATTAGTTAATGATTCAACTATTAGGAAAGAAGGAAAAGAGAATAGTTATTGAGGGCAGTTAAGCATGAAGATTCCAATCCTGGAGTCTTAGATTCCAGAGTTCATGTTTGGAACTAGGGGCAGGGTGGGTTCCCTCCAACTCTTTTCTCCAGGTTTTCCAACCAAACTGTTTTATAATAGGGCAAAGACTTCCCAGTACTATTGTTGTTGAAAGTATACCACACTAGGATGTCTAGGTTTAAATGTATCCAATGTTATTTTTATTTTCTCGATTTGAGTGTTAATTGAACAGGTAAGCAGCTAATGAAGTAAGCCATGGTTTGAAGTCTTGATTATATGACACAAAAATTTATTTTTATGATATGTACTTATGGTTAGATGTAGTATAATTATCTATAATAGGACTGCCTCTCATAACAAAAAGAAAACATACAAAGGTTAAACACTTGCACATGTGCCTCCTATTCTCCCACTATAAACACTTTAATGTCTACATTCTATCTTCTAGAGCACTTAACAAGCAAGAAAGATGATACTCATTTTCTCAATGTTGAGGAGAGCCTTCTTCTTCAGGAAGTAAGCTCTTGGGAGGCAGAGTCCAGGCTGCATATGTTTTGTACTTAGCTGTTCAAAGGTACAATCAATTGATGAAGTGCAGGAATATATGAGATTTTCTGAAGCAAAGAAGAA